AAAAGCCTGAATTTTGCCTGAAACTCTCAGACTGAAAAAGTCTCTTGGAAGAGAGACGAAATGTTTCATTAAAGAAGAACCCGTCCAGAGGACCTATACAATTTTTTTTTCCTTTTGATTTTTTACCTGGATTACTGAGATGCATCAGGATACTCTGTAATATATTTTAATATAATAAGATGTTCAGATTTTTCAAAGATTTTTGTCAGAAATTGTCAAATTCCTTTCATTGAAATTATGAGAATAAAATACATTTTAACCCACTATATTTTAAAATCCATGTAAAAGGCAAAACTTTAATATATTTCATTTTTGACCTTTTTTATTCACAGACATTCTTGTTAACTCACTTAGAAAGTTTATATCCTGAAATTTTGCTGCCCTATTTGTGAACTGTTTGAATTACTGAAGAACTTTTGCTATACTGGCTCCTCTGTAAAATAAATATTGACTATAAGCAAACACAATTCTAGCAAGATGCAAACACTGCAGGCATCGTTGGTTACAAATAAATTAAATGTGCTGTGAAAATGAGTCACAAGAACCTGATCCAGGATTTGTTAGTTGTTATATTTTTTGCAAGTCTGACCAACTGTAACATGACATTACAGACATTTGTCATGTGCGTCACATGTAATTTAATTACAAAACAAATGTCTTATCCCATGGTAACTCATTACACAGTTACAAGTCATTATCACCTTCACTGTCTCAGTGGGCTTCATAAACTCAATACTTTTCTCCAGACTTAAAGAAGGGGTTTTACATGAATCTTTTATTTTTAAAAGCGATCATCATTTCCAAGAAACAGAAAACATTTAAGAGTCAGAAAAGCAGTAGATTGACCATTTAGTTCATTAAATACAACCAAATGAACACAAACCTTCATTCAGCTTCGGTACTATTTGACAGTATCTATCAGTGCTTTTTTTAAAATCAAAATGTTAAGACTTTCAAGGTCTGAAAATGCATCATAAAATCAGTTAATCAGCTGAAGTTTATTCATGTTTATCAGCAGACTCAGTGATTCCCTCAGGAAACTGCTGTTATTCATTAAATCACTGGTGTTAAAATATCAATCATGATCTTTGGTCTTGCATACATATCCTCATTTTTTGTTTGTGGCGGATTAAAGTCTTAGTTGTTCTTGAAGCCTCAACTTTTAACAGCCTGATAATATTGTTTAAGAAAAGAATTACTATTAATTATTTTAATTAATTTAATTAATTAGTTAATCAGTCAATCAATCAGTCTTTGGAAGCTGTTGATTACAGTGGTGTTACGCTGATATTTTATTTACCTGTGTGCCTTTATACGTTTTCGCACCTAATGCAATTAAGTTACACTGATAAAGTTTACATCTAGGATAACTGCTTTTCTGCTGCTTTATTAGTTAAGACAAATCAGTGTATACAGCATGACAAGTCTTTTTAAGTAATTAACACATTGGGAGGTTTTTTTCTTTAATTTTCAAAGGGGTGTTTTATGTAAGGATTAGGATTAAAGATTATATAATAACATGCACACAGAAACAACAGAAATCACAACTATGAACGCGTGTTTATAAAACGCACATTCGGCTAAAGCTACAGAGGTGTTCAGTTTTATCGCCTTCCACTTAAAACAATATCGCAATCCAACAATACACAAATACACAATCCAACAATTCCAAAACAATTTTGCAGTGAAGTCGTGACCAGTGCATTAAGGCACACAAACCTCTTTATTAGGGATATGTTTCACTAATACCAGATGCTAAAGTTAGCATGTTAATTTCAAGATAGCATAAACTTTACCAGGAGCTGCGTTATCATTAGATTGTTAGATGTGTTGCCTCTACTGTCTGCAAGACGTTGCCGTCCATATTTTTACAGCATACCAAATATTTTTATATGGCTGGCTTTATTCTTTTAGACGGGGGAAAAGTTTGGGGAACTCTCTTCCTTCAGTCATCACACAACCTGCACCCCCCACAGAGCTGCCAGTCGGCACTCAGCAGCTCTGCGGGGTGCTCGGGGGAGGGGTCGCAGGGGGAAAGTCTGCAGCTGCACAGACTGAGGAAAAATAAACAAAAAACATTTATACTGTAGTAACGGTATAACTGAAAATTTTAGTGGTTTGGAAACCGTGACTTTTTCATATCACGGTGTACTGTAAAACTGGTCATCCCGACCCATGCCTAACTGTTCATATCTGTAGTAATAAAACCAACTCCAACCAGTCCATTGAACATGATGATGACTTGTTGTTATCCTGCTTCCCTCAGGTACCAGTTTCTGGAAGAAGCGTTCCAGAATCATAAAGAAATCATCGAGACCAATATGGCTAAACTACAAGAAAAGAAGAAATATGTCTATTACTCTGTTTCTCAAGTGCAAAACAGGTGAATTTTTCCTGACCAGATCAGAACATCAGACAGTTTATGAATATCTATATTAGTGGCTAACATTTCTTAATAAAAACATTTATTGTTTTATTTTTAAATTCAGGTTAAAAGAGTTAAATGAAACGCACAGAAAAGTTGAGCACGAGATCAAAATTGCAGTATTTACTCTTATAAATGAGATCAACAAAAAAGGCAAGGCCCTGCTCCAGCAGCTTGAGGTAAGAGAACAATAAGATCTTTATACTGTGCTGCAGAATCACAGCAAAGCTAACTGATTTGTTTGAAGCTGATTAGACACAGTAACACGTATTTATGGCAGCATGTCCTGTAAGAGCACTCTAACACAGTAATTTCACTGTTGACATAAACGCTGACCTCATTGAAATAACACAGCTGAAAACTTTCTCATTTATTGTTGACATGTAGCACTTTTTTCACAGAATCCATTTATGTTATAAACTTGACGAGCCCTGTATTTTATAGGCTTACTAGAACTGCATCTGTTTTTCTTAATAATAACCTTTTAGTTAAATTGTGTTCAACAATCTCACTCTTTAGAGCGTGAGCAAAGAACGCAGTATAAGGCTTGTGTCTCAGCATAAAGACACCACCCAGCTGGCTCAACAGATCAACCACGTGCTGAACTTTTGCCACTGGGCCATCACCTCCGGCAGCAGCACTGCGTTGCTCTACAGCAAGAGACCGGTCTGTTTCTCATGACTTTGTTTGATCTGTGTTGCTGTTCTATAGGTGTACTCCGTAAATGAAGACTATTTTCTCTGTTTGTAGATCATGTACCAACTTCGCCAGCTCTTCAAGGCTAGGCTGGAGCCTGCGCCACAGTCCAACGGAGTTGTGCGCTTCTTCTGTGATCCGACCTTCTGGGCCAAAAATGTGGTTAACCTTGGTGAGAGAAAACTACTTCTCTTATTAATCCTCGTCAGTCAGTTTTCTGTTTTGTTTGATAAGTAGTCAAGGATTATTCAGCGTGACATTTTACAGATTTGCAGTATTGTGCAAAAGTTTTAAACCATTGCTTGTTTTTAATTCTTTTAATAAAGGGATCTACGATTAGTTGTAACATTAGACTATTTGATAAACATTTATTTTAACTGTTGTCCTTAACTGGACAACAGAGCTGCTTCATGGCCAACGCTATTTTGCCTTATATGTATTAGCTCAACGCTAGTGCGACAAACTAACAAGCTAATCTGTTGTCCTCCATCCACATTTTCAGTTACAGGCTGAGTCATTTCTACCTTCTCCTCTCTGTCAACGCTCTCTGGTTTCATTTAAAAGAGTCAATCGTGAGATATTGTCCAAGATTAACCTTCAGGGTGGTTATAGCTCACTAGCAGCCTCGCACCGAGGATCTGTCCACATCATCATTTACCCAGAATGCTTTGCGTGTAAATAAAATGGTCCTGTCCGTGTAATATATTTTTTAACTTTTAGTTTAAAAATGATAAAAACTAAACAGCCTACAGTATTTTTTCAGTCTTTATTTTACAGTTAAAATATTTTTATCAAATAAAGTTTAATGTTTCAACTAATCATGGATCCCTTTAAATGGTCTTGATCAGTAGTTCTCCAGACTTGCTGAGGGTCAGCTTCTGTCCAGTCCTGGTACCTGACAATGACGGCATATTGTGCAGTGTGTGCTTCAAACCAAGTGTTTTGGCCTAATTTAACCTACAGCAGATTAATGGTACTTAAAAGGTCCATTTTTAAGATTTTCTTTTTAATTCTGCAAAGACTTGGCATGGAATTTGAAAGATATAATATGTTGGTCTGTTTTATTCACACCAAGATTTCATATGTTTATTTAGGAATACTTTGTTGTTGTTTTTTTAAAATTGATTCAGCAAAAAAAGTAAACATTGCATCTTTATGCAAGTAACGGTGCATAAAGATTCAGTTTAAAACTTTTAGTTGTTCAGTCACAACACAGATTTTCTTGAGTTTAGATGCGTTAAATGCTTAAATGATTTCTGGTCCAGAGTTAAGTGGTGTATGGAAACAATTTCTTTGACAATAGTCAGATATTGGACTGAAATCTAGTGCAAAACAGTCTAAAGAAAACTTTTGAAGGGTCTTCAGGAAGCTTGAGATTTAGATCAAAACCTCTTGAAAAACACAAGAAAGCAAATGTGAATACATAGGTGATGATTGAAGACTTTTGCACAGTACTATGTCAATAATAGGTGTTTATAGCGTTTGTCTTTCAAGCTCACTAACATCGGTCTTCTCCGGTTGTAGGTAATTTGGTAGTTGAAAAACCTCCTCCAGCTGTACACCCTCCCAATGTGATGATGGGAGGACCCACCATTTCACCTGGCCAGGGTCACCCAGGCAAACACCCAGGCCAGATCAACCTGGCTCAGCTCCGACTGCAGCACATGCAACAAGCTGCGTATGCAAAGCAGCATCAGCAGCATCAGCAGCAACATCAGCAACAGCAGCAAATCCAGCAACAAATGCGCATTGCCTCCCAAATGTCCCAGCAGCAGCATCCCAGACAGGCAGGCCCACCCATAGTTCAGCAGCAGGTATGGAGGTCAACAGTTCTTTTAGCTGATGGTTATGGCTAATTTCAAGACAAAGGTAGTGAATGTTAACAAGAAAGCAGGAAATTAGCAAAAACATGAAATAATTCTTGCAGTAACTGAGGAAAAATGAGCGAAAATGGATTTTAATAAGCCCTTGGCAGGGGTTTAATTCATTTTCAAGAGACCAAAAATGTCAGACAAAGCTAATTATTTTGCAAAGTATAAATTGAACAAATACCAAAAGTCATAGCAGGAATGTTATTGGTTTGCTAAAGTAGTTAATTGATAAATTTTAAAGCTTCAGGTCATTTTCTGCAGATTGATGACTTCTCATTACACTGTTAAAATGCCGTGTATTTCTTTGTGCTTAGATCGTGACTGAAAATAATAATGTTGCTTATATTATTTTTCTGCTCCCCCTTCCAGCCTCCAAGACTCATCAGTATGCAGCAGCTGCAAAGAGTACCGGGGGGTATGAACGGTGGGCCCAGTCCCTCTATGTACCCCTCTTCCCATCACATGCGTCTGCCGGGTCCCCCTCAGAGCCGAATGGCCACAGCTCAGCCCAGACTTAATGGACAACAGTTCTCGCCCCTCATGCAGCCTCAGTTACAGAGACAGGTCAGTACAGATGTTTATATGGAAGTAGAATGTCCTATTTGTGACATTTTAATTATTGTTTGTTCAAAACATGTCAGTTGTGGTGTAATTGCAGGGATTGCACAGATACAGCAGTGGAGGCTGGTCAAAGCAACACAACGTCTCATTAAGAAAGCTGTTTACAACACGTTTACAGATCCTTGTTTCTGCATCATTTTCTGCCTGAGGATAATAATTTCAGGAACGCTTGGATATTAAATTAGAGCTTATCTTGTTTGGACATGCTGAACTAGTTTGTTGAAATCAGACATGGGCACTTTTTGATACTGGTTGATTTGATTTGATTTATTTAACAGGAAAAGATTATTAAAAATCAAGCCTGACTCAGCATAATTGCTGTTTTACAGCAGGTTCCTGTTCTGCAGCACATAAAACACTCAGAATTACAGCATCACAATCACATCATTATACACCATAGACACAAAGACAAACAAGCATACCAAATTTCAAAAAGGCAGCATTTGCAAAATCGGACGTCTAAATATGAGCACAACAAAAAGTGTCCAGCAGATGGCAGACAAGATTCTTCTTAACGGGCTGTAGTTTTGAAATGGACTTTATGTTTTGAAAAATGTCATTCCATGCTTTAGTATAAACATAGAAGAAAGACCTCTGACTATTAATAGATTCAATATTGAAATCAGACAAAAAAAAGAACAGTATCATCAGCATACATTAAAATATTTGAATACTTCAATATTTTTGGAAGGTCATTTGTGTATAATAGGAAAAGCAGTGGGCCCAGTATGCTACCCTGCGGAACTCCCACGGAACAGGGCAGAGACCCAGACACAGAGCTTCCATGTTTCACAACCTGACACCTATCAGTCAAATAAGAGGAAAACATTTGTATTGCAGATGATGAAAGTTGAAAAGAAATCAACTTTTGTAAGAGAGTATAATGATCAACTGTGTCAAACGCTTTACGAAAATCAATATATACAGCACCAGTTACTTGACCTTTGTTCAAAGCAGCACGTATTTGTTCAGTGAATAAAATTAATGCAGACATGGTTGACCTTGACGTGCGGAAACCATGTTGGCTATTGCTTAGCAAATTGGCCGATAGTTTGAAACTTCTGTTGGATCACCAGATTTAAAAATGGGAGTAATCTGAGCAAACTTCCAGGCATCAGGGAAAATAGACTGCACAATACATAAATTAAGCAAATGATGAAACAATGGTAAAAAAGTGTTGGCATGCATTTTCAAGAAATCCATATTTATCTTATATTTGTCAAATGCATGTGAGCCATTTAGAGATTGGAGTGTATTCAAAACATCACTCTGTGAAATTTCAGAAAATGAAAATTGCTTTGAAGTGTCAGGATATTTAAATAACTTTAAACTATTAGCTTGTCCCGGTAATGATGTCCTTACTGAAGAAATAAAATATTCATTAAATAAGTTAGCAATTTTTTCATGATCAGAAACAAGAAGTCCATTTACTGAGATTTGTGAATTGTTATTAAATGTTTTATTGTTACTTTCACCTGTCACTGACTTAATCGTTTCCCATAATATTTTTGGATTTTTACTTGCTGAAATAATTTGATTTTTAAAATATTGTTTGGTTCTTCAACAGGGTTCAGATGGTTTTATTAGGTTTGTTTAAAGTAGATTATTCATGAACCTGTCTGAATATGTGGCTGGTTTTAAGTGTAGAAGATCTGCTCATTGTTAAACAAGAAATAAGGATTTTGAACACAGAATGATCGACAACAGAAATATTATAGTAGTAGTATAGAACTTTATTTCATTCAACAAATAATAATGAAACAAACAAATAATACAAAGAACAAACAATAATAAAAACAAACAAATAGTAACCACGACGTCGTGTCAAAAACACTATCACAACAGTCAAATGAAAAGGAGCAGAAAGAAAAAAATAATCTTATAACATCTGCCCTTATTTAAAAATACATAAATCTAAAATATATAAAACATACAAATATTAAAAACCCAGCTTAATACATAAATTAATTTCAACATAATTTCAAAAAATCAACAACAAAAATACAATTTTAACTAATGCTTTGTTCATATCTCGTTAAAAAACTTTTAAGCATTCTACCAAATGAATAAATTGTTCTAGCATTCTTAAGGTCATCAAGCAAATTATTCCATAGTTTTACTCCCTGAACAGAGGTACATCTCTTCTTAAAATTAGTTTTAATTTTTGGTTTCACAAACAATGCAAGTCCCTTTAAATTATAAATACTATCTCTCTTAATGAAGTTGGATTGTATATTTGGTGGCAAAACATTTTTGTGAGCCTTAAACATCTTACAATCCATCAAATCACTAAATTTCAACTGCATAAACGAGGTATTTGTTGGGTGGTGATAGTGTTGTCTTGTTACAATTCTCACAGCACATTTCTGCAAAACAACGTATTACTAGTATAAGTGTGCAGCTTTTTTATTACAGAACTTGAAAAGGTCCACAATAAACCTTAGATTAGTTGAATCTTAAATAACTAATACATGTAGTCATAAACCAATTTCAGATACCTGGAATGTAAGTGGGTTGAAGCTTATTAAGTGTAAAAACAGCCTGCCATACCGTGATCCTCTGCATGCTGCTGAAATGATCTGCTGTGCTTTCAGAGCAGCAGCCGACTATTAAATTAGCAAGATGGACTTAAGAGCAAATGAACGTCCACATCTTCTTTTCATCTTTTAAAGTTACAAAAAAGGTTTTTCCAACTTTGGTGTTAAAAATAATAATAATAATAATAATAATAATAATAACTTTGCTCGGCACGATGTAGGATGCAATTTCTCCCTCACTCCCTACAGCGGGATGGAGCCGGGGAGGAAGAGAGAAATTATGAGGAATTGTCCTCCGTGCCATAGGGTTGGGCAATATTGGCAAAAATATTAATCTTGATTAATTGGAGGTTTTTAGCCGATAACGATTAATATGACAATTAATCATCTGGACACCCTTATGTCCTAGTCACATGACCAATTTAGTGGGAAAGATTTGCTCCTCATAAAAATCTATTCCAAATTGTGTCAAAATAACAGACTTCAGGCTATATATCAAATTTAAATTGTGTTGATAAATAAATAAATTACAGAACTTTTTTTTAATATATATTTATATTTTATATATTTGAAGCAGAGAGGAGCACCGAGCAGACAGACCGGGGAAATATCCAGTCAGTCTGCCTGGTGGCATTAATCGTATTAATCGTTAAGTGCCAAAAAATAATCAGTTGTTTTTCTGACCATTAATTGCACACTCAGGAAATTTTGCATTTATTTTCTGTATGTGAGACTAGTTAAGAGAAACTTCCACTACATCCAGCCCCTTTTTCTCTGTGTCCAGATGTCTATAGAATCTGAGATGAGCCACCCAAGGTTTCGTTTCTTACTGCAGTCAGGGGTTTGGCACCTTTTCTTCTTTATTTGTCTTGTGCAGCATGTGTGGTCACTCCACTGCATTATTTGTTTGTTTTCAACTTCAGAATGTGAGCATTCTCATCATTGCTGTCATATCGCCTATCGTCCATTATTTTCCCTCTATTTGTGGTCTTTACTCTATTTTGTTCTTACGCGGTCTTGTCCTTTATTTTATTTCATCCGTCTCTTTCTCTCTGTAGCATTCCAATCCAGGCCACGCAGGCCCTTTCCCGGTGGCGTCCCTGCACAACGCTAGTCCCACGAGTCCAACCAGTGCCAGTATGGCTGGTGCCCACGCTCATCGAGGACCTGCCAGCCCTATAATTGGTCCCATTGAGCTGATCCCCTCCGTCACTAATCCTGAGAACCTGCCCTGCTTACCTGAGATCCCTCCTATTCAGGTGCACACAGTGTTTTACTTTAGGTTTCTTTTTAAATCAGAGTTAAACTTGGAAATGTTAACTTTTCCTTTATTCTTTTTAATTTTTGTTAAAGAGAAAGTGTCCAAAAGGAGCATTTCACAGACAGTCCAATGGTTAATCCTCATTAGTTAAGGATTAGTACATTGTAATGTAATTCCCCTTTGGGATCAAAGTGTTTTTGAATTAAATTGAATTGAAATATATCAAAAGGATCATGTGTTTTTACAAACAGTGAAACAAAATAATCCTATTGTTTGTTAGATTGTATTTTGACTAAGTTTTATTAATATTAAGAATACTTTATCCATTTTTTGTGCCTTATCCTGCCAGTTGGAAGATGCAGGTTCCAGCAACCTTGGACAGCTTCTTTCTCGTTACATTTCAGCGAGCACACATCAGTTTGGATCAATAGACTTGAACTCCTCACCTGGACTGTCAACACTTTCTCCTGGATCTTCAGGTACTCATAAATCCTAACAGAGAGACCCTCATCTCATTTTTCAAAGCTTCGTGTTTGTAATAGAAACTAAATATTTCAACATTAAGCAAGATTCTGTTGTAGAAATAAATCCTGAACTGACTGAAGGTAACTGTATTATTTTAAATTCATGTCTGCAGGTGTATCCAATGCTCACACACCAGCACGACCCTCTAGCACCTCCAGCACCGGCAGCAGAGGCAGGTCAGTCAGCGCAAAGCTACATAAAGTACCCAAACATCAGCAAAAAAAATCTGGAAGTAGTTAAGAGACAGAACTCTATTCTGCGCTGTTTTTGCAACCTCAGTCTTTTTTTTATTGGTTTAAATATTACCAAAAAAATGTGTTCATTCTAAAAAATCACATGTGGGAAAAGGGTAGAACTATATTTTGTATGATGAAGGGAAATCCCCTCTGTGGTTGTGGAGAAAGAGCAAAAATTCTAATTTTAGGCAGCAGTTTTCACAGAAAGGCCAAAATAAACCAGCAAGAATGACAGTTGAAGCAAGTATCAGATGTTGTTAAAATGCTACAAAGAGAAAAGTTTGGTGAACAAGTAACCACTAAAGACAGATAAACAGCCTGGCAATGTATTTGTACAGTGTCATATACAGGAAATAAAATAAATCTGTCGTGTAAAAATCAAAGCATACCAAACGAAAAAGTCTTTCAAAACTTGCAATCAAAATCAATTCTTCTCATTATATTAGAGCTATTTAAAAATACATTTATTACAGTTCGTCTCTCATATTTAGGAAATATTGGTGGAAACAAGTTTTAAGTCTTGAAATGATCAGAAACAGCGAAATTTGACTTTAGGGTGTAGAAAAAAAATTGAACCTTTATCAATAAACTGCGCCTCTCCCATTTTAAATGCTCTGTCGAACCAGAAAGAGTTCACTTCATTTACTTTCGTGTTTGTTTTGATGCTCTTAGTGCAGGGGTGTCAAACTCCAGTCCTCGAGGGCCGCTATCCTGCATGTTTTAGAGGTTTTCCAGCTCCAACACACCTGATTCAGTGATTGAATTAACTCTTCAAATTGGGCAGAAGCCTGTTAATCACCCACCGATCAAAATCTGGTGTGTTGGAGCAAGAAAACCTCTAAAACATGCAGGATAGCGGCCCTCGAGGACAGGAGTTTGACACCCCTGTCTTAGTGCGTTCAAAGAAATGCATCAGTGACCACTTGGTTTTATTGGTTTCAGCTCTAGCTCAGCAGGCAAAGGAGGCACAGGAGGTGGAACCAGTGGAGAGCAGGTGAAGGTGAAGAAGGAACCCGGCACAGAGGACAGCTACAGCTGCACGACGACTTCTCTGAAAACGGAACGAGGCAAAGATGCAGGAAGGAGTGCCTGCATGGTACGATAACAGGTTTTATAAACCATAATAAAATATAAACCATAGTAACTTTTGGAAGTTTAATATGCTAAGATGTACTACTGAAACTGTACATGTAACTTGTGTGTAAGTGTTTTGCTTTAAAATGATGTAATTAGGAATGTAGACAAGTATAATAAGACAGCAGGCCCCTTTAGGATATGTTTTTAACAGATTTGTGTTTGTTTTTCTCCCCAGATGAGCAGTCCAGAGAACAGCCCTCTTGGACTTGTGTCTGCAGGCCAGGATGCCATCAAAGGTCTTAGTGACCGCATCAAAACAGAACCCGAGTCCGATGCACCGTGTTCTAGACTGAATGGTGCCAGTGCCACCACATCGTCCTCTTCCACTAACACCGCCACCTCCTTTACCTCGTTGACCAAGAACAGCAGCAGTGATTCAAACTCTGTGCTCACCAACGGAAATGTGGAAAAAGACGGCGAAGCAACAGGAGGGAGAAAAGAGGACGACCCTAATGAAGACTGGTGCGCTGTTTGTATCAACGGTGGTAACCTGCTATGCTGCGACCGCTGTCCCAAAGTGTTCCACATGAAATGCCACGTTCCCACTATAAAAATCTTCCCACAGTAAGTGATCGGTCGGAAATGCTGTTCTGATTCGTCAGTCTTGTCACAATGGTTTAACTGTACTTTATTAAGATTTAACTTTATTTGGTGAAATAAAACAATTAAAATTTTATGATTTGGTTGATTATAACATTCTGTTAGTTATGTATAAGGCTCACCAAAACACGTTACCTTTAAACACTCAGGAGCTGTTATAATCTTAAGGGGACAGAGTTGTTCATGAAACCTAAATTTAGGGCATGTTTGAAAGAACGGTGCACCTCAATCCAAGGATTGAGGAATAATCTGGAAGATGATGTTAAAAGTGCCAAATCAATCTACATGTTTAAGAGAATGATAAAGGCTAGATTGTTAAAAAAATTAAAACAGTATAGTGTGTATTCATATAATTTGTTGTTCTAGAAAGATTTCATGTTTTTGGTTTGTTAACTGAAGATTATTATTGTTTGAATTTATACTTGAGGAAAAGGGCAGATATAAGATTTTTTCTTCTCTGCCGCCTTTCATTTCATTTTATTTGTACTTTCTTTTTTACCGTACATATAATTACTTTTGTTTTTAAAGAAATGAATAAAGTTTGAAAAAAAACTGTAGATTTATATAATATAACAATGACTGATTAAAACAAATCTAAGCAAAAATATCTAAATACTCAGGATTAGTGAAGCTGTAAAATTAAAACTAGAAAAGTGACTTTTTTTAGTTATGCTATGTGACAATTTCTGCATCCTAAATTAATTTAATCAAAATGACAACAGTGCCACCTAATTTGTTAAAATATAAATATGCAACTTTAGATAATTCTAAAAATTCTGGTTTATGTTTGTTTATTGTTTTTTTGTCTCAGGGGTGACTTCCTCTGCACATTTTGCCGAAGTATAACGAGCCCTGAAATAGAGTACTGCGACGAAAGCTCGAGAACCAAGGAAAATCAGAGCCTGAGTGCAGAAGACCAACGGGTCAGTACGCTCAAGACATCCTCAGAAATCTTCTTTATGATATTTAATATCTAATATTTTTTTCTTATCCTGTGTCTGCAGAAATGCGAACGCCTCCTCTTGTATATTTTCTGTCATGAGCTTAGCATCGGCTTTAGGGAACCTGTTCCGATCTCTGTAAGTATTCACACAATACAAACCCATCATTCAGATGATTATTCATACATAAACTTTTGAAATATTTTACTTACTTAGCCTTGCTGTGGAAAACCTCATACACCTAAAACTTTTCTCTCTATTTTTATACTTTCTACTAGCCAGATTAAACTGCATTGAAAAACCCTTTAACTTGGTTACAATCCCAAGATATACATAAAACCTTTAAAAGCCACAACTAGGATGAAATGCACAGATCATAAAGACAGCAGCTAACTTTTCCAGGCTGTGCTCATTTGCATTGGAACTGTTCAGCATGAATGGTTCCCAAATGTAAAATGATAAAAATGTAATATCATGAAATTTAGTCCCAGCTGCAGACCGAGCAGCACCGTTGCTCTAAAGTCAAAAGTGAAAGAAGTAATTAAAGTAGCAAATCATTTAAAATGTTTAAAAAAACTCTGCTGATCCTAAACCTTCATTGTGGCACTTTTTCTTTCCTGTTACTCATTCTCAGCTCTGCCATTTACTAATCTTTTAAATTCAGAAATCAGGGAGACTGCAATCTTTTTTTTTTGTGATGTTGTTCATGTTTGAGTTGTCAGCTGGTCTTCAACAGTCCCAGTCCAATGAGATACTAGCTTTAGCTATATTCGATCAGTCTGGTATTATTTTATATTTAGTGTTGCAGTAAATATTCTAATTCACAATCCAGATTTTTGCTTGGATCCTTTCTTCTTGCTTGATTATTTGCATTATAATTTAAATGTGATTGCCATCAGACAGAGATTTGGAAAAAAAAAAACTGACATTGCAATTTTTTTCTAACCCTGTGATATACAGTATATTATGATATGAAAAAATACAATAACTTGCAGCAGATAACTTGAGTAACAATTTAAGTTCTACTGCCATCTTATTGACGATGAATCTGCACAGATTTGACCTCTTTTTGTGCATGTTCCAAGTATGTTTTTTGTTTTTGTCTGTATTTGAGTTGTTGTCTTTTAATGTGCGATCTGAGTATATATTTCCTTCTATCGTGCAAGCATGAATTGTGTTTTTCGGCTAGATCCTCCCTGTCTTCCTCCACAGCTCGAGAATTCACCGACAACGCTTCTCTGAGAAATGTTGCCATTATTGTCCCAGACGTTTTTACAACAAATATAAAGTTTTAGCTTTTTTAACGTGAAGCCGCCCACTCCTGCAGACGAAAACGACTCGTCAAAATAAAAGCCGTAATGTGMCTSTTTAGTGCAATGACATGGTGTGGTTCTTACATGTTGATTCAATTTGCCTCCGACATCTCAGGACCTGCAATGGGATGATTGTGCACACGTACATTGTGATGATGATGCTTAAACGATATATAGTGCAGCTCTGATCTAGTCAGTAGTCAGATAAGAGAATCAAAAAATACATTTCCTAAAAAAATCTACATTCTCAAAGCATTAAGCTCTTTCCTGTACTCATCTCGTTTTTCCCCCGTCCTAAATTTTTACATAATTAGACTCACTTTTTATTTTAAACCTAGGTACCCAACTACTACAAGATCATTAAGCAGCCCATGGACCTGAAGAGGGTGAAGAAGAAGCTGCAGGTGCGGAGCTCCCAGTACTACAAGTCCATACAGGAGTTTGTGAATGATATGCGCCTTATCTTCAAAAACTGTGCAAAGTACAATGAGGTGAGCAGCATGTGTTTCCAGCCTGTTTGTGGAATGATATCTGCTAATATGTGTGCATGCAGACACAGAGTTGGACTGAAATGAATGGAAATACCATCCTTGAAGGATGTTCATTCAGCTGTTTTATTTAGTAACAAAGCCTATTTTTTTCTTCTCAGATAATAGAAAACAAACACTTTGGCTTTATAAGGCATGCCTCAAAAATCTGTACTGTAGTTGTTTTTCGTTTTTATATGAAGTTGGATAAAAGAGAGTGATGGTGCAGAGGTTAGAGTGGGCAGCTCTCCTGATCCCTGAATACCCTAATCATTGCAACAAAATTAAAAGTCACGTATGCTTTCACACATTGCCCCATTTTTAACACCCCCCCCCCCCAACCCCAGCTGCTCCTCACGCATCCATAATGGCAGCTCCCCTGCTCCACACAAGTGGGCTTTGATAGCTTTGTGGTCAGTGGTTGTGTCAGGAACAGCATCTGGTGTAAAACAGTTGCCAAATCGGTGTGCGTGTTATCTCGCTGTAGCAGCCAAAAAGTAAAAATAATAAGTTGGATAAAAATGTAATTTTTCAGTCATAATAAAAACAAATAATCCTTGCTGCACCAAAATAAAAAATAAAATAAAATACTTTCAATCAGTTCAGTTTTTTTCTACTTGGAAAAAGTGCAATAAAAAATGATGGTAAATAAAATCTTGTTTTAAAGGTAAATTAAGGACATCTTTAAATTATCATGGCTGAATGTTTTTCTTCTTCAGGTTAAACTTTAAAATCAGTCTAACATTTACAGTAAAAATTAAATTGTTAAGAGGAAAAGGATTCGTCTTGCAAATCTGGGCCTGTATTTATCAAACCTCTTAGAAATACTCTTAAGCATAGACTGGAGTGTAAAAAAAATATTTTCTCAAAGCTGGGCTTAAAAGTCCGTTATCAAGCATCTCAGTGTAGAAGTAAATCTTAAGTATCAGTCTTACAACTGATTTACGACACTTTACTGTTAACGAAGCTGATCCTCGTTAGAAAACCCCAGGCAAGGACCAGTCACCGCATCCATTTCATCTACAAGAATATTCTCAGAGAAATGTGAAGGTAAAAAATGTAAAAATCCTAAAATAAGTTCACATTCAACACAATAATGTTCATACAAGTCACGTTGTACTGATTGTCTGTAAAAAGTATTGGTGAATGGCTTGAACTTGTAGAGCGCCTTATCAAGTCCACCTGGACTCCAACGTGCGTAACACTTCAGATATTCACCTATTACAGGATGACTCCCCTAAACCACTCCACCACAGTCGCCCCATTAATAAATTACACAAAATTTCCTGATTTGCATGAATTACAGACTTTTAGAGAAAATCTGATTTATTTCAAATACTCAGCTTCAAAGTTTTTTACATCTCAGAGTTTGTGGTAATGCTGAGTTTGCACTTCACACACACACTGCCCACTACACCGTTACCCCGTCCACCCAAGATGACACCAACCTCCCCACTCCATTCATTGTATCGTGTGAGATTACTAAGTTTTTTTGTATGAAATTTACAGATTTCATAAAGTTAAATAAAGAAAATATAAAAAAGTAAAGTTCAGTCCCACCTCAACTTGTGTGGACAAGAAACAAAACCTCCCAAGACTTTTGACTGCATCTGCCTGCATTCCCTCACCATCTGACTCTGAAAATAATGGTATAATCCTCTCCAAAAGCTGCACAGAAATGTCCGCCTTTAAGTCTAACATAATGCTCACTGGTATGTGTAATCATATTTCCCCTTATTTCTTTGGTATTGCATGCCTAAACCTATTTTCCACACCCTAACTTTAGTTACACTGTACATTATAAGCTCAGGCAGGGGACCCCTCAGTCCATTTAAGCCCCTTCTCCACGGGCATGCCTGTATCCGGTTCGCCTCGGTTCAGCCTCAGTCAAATGTCTCTCTATTTCCAGTTCCAACCCACGCTTACAGAACCATCTCCAAGCTGGTTCTAAACGGGTAGAAAAGTGTTGCTCTTACGATTTTAACGACAGCAGACCTCTGCCCCGGCCGCCCACAGGTTACAGTGCAGTTTATGATGGTGATGCAGATTATTCTTGAGGAAGACAACTGTAATCTGTCTCCTCTGTCCATCTCAGACCCTTAGTGGCAACTCTTAGCCAGTTGAGAGACCTCTGGAGCTGTCTTAAATACCCAGAATACTAAAAGTGATTCGTAGTTTTAAAAATTTTAATAACTGGCATTTACACTTAAAGGGATCCATGMTTAGTTGTAACATTAGACTTTATTTGATAAACATATATTTTAACTGTAAAATAAAGACTGTAAAAATACTGTAGGCTGTTAAGTTTTGTAAGTTTTAAAAAATATATTTTAACATGGATGGAGCCATTTTATTTACACACAAAGCATTCTGGGTAAATGATGACATGGATAGGTCACTGGTGTGAACGAGCTATATCCACCCTKAAGGTTAATCTTGGACAATATCCGACGATTGGCTCATGCTTCATGGAAGAAGAACCTCAGCTTAGCCTGTTAGCGTTAGCGCTGACGCTATATTGCCTTATATGTATTAGCTCGGCGCTGGCGCGACAAACTAACAAGCTAAACTGTTGTCCTCCATCCACATTTTCAGTTACAGGCTGAGTCATTTCTACCTTCTCCTCTCTGTCAACTCTCTCTGGTTTCATTTAAAAGAGTCAATCGTCAGATATTGTCCAAGATTAACCTTCAGGGTGGATATAGCTTGATAGCAGCCGCGCACCGAGGACCTATCCACGTCATCATTTTCCCAGAATGCTTTGCGTGTAAATAAAATGGCCACATCCGTGTAATATATTTTTAAACTTCTAGTTTAAAAATGATAAAAACTAAACGGCCTACAGTATTTTTAGTCTTTATTTTACAGTTAAAATATGTTTATTATAGAAAGCCTAATGTTATAAGTAATCAGGGAAAAGAAGTGTAATGGTGCGTTCACACCGAACGCGATTTCAGCGTCAAAATCGCAGCCAACGCTGAAGTTTGAAGCTTGTGCACTTTGAGGTCAGACGCAGGACACCTGCGCTGCACGGCGACAGCCTCCCCGCCCCTCCCTCCTCTGTGGGGCTGTTTAATGTTGGACGAGGAAGTGGCTTTGCTTTATTTACAGACAGCCAGAACGTGTCACGTTCATCAGATAATTAATTCATAATTAATTCACCAGATAATTCAGAGAAGAGGCTCACAGCTGCTTTCAGGACTATTTTTTTCAGTCTAATGAGTCGCTGCCACGCATTGCTGCGGATCAGGACACGACTGCAGCACTCATTTCAGCTAAAGAGCAGGAGCTCTGTCTGTTTCAGGTTAGTGGACCTCATTCAGTAAACTGTCCCGTCGGGAAATATGTCGCTACGTCACACAGTGGAGTCTCTCTGATTGGTTGACGCTGCGCGTCGAGCTGCAAAAGTTCAGATTTTCTAACTTCAGCGATTTGAACGATTTGGACGATCTGAGCGTTCGACGCTCAGATCGTCCAAATCGTCCAAATCGCGCTGCTCTAATCGCGCTTGAGGCGCCGCAGAACTTCCCGACGTTGCTTGAAGCGCSTCCACCATAGACTTTGMATGTAAACCTGCTGCTCCTGACGCTGAAATCGCRTTCGGTGTGAATGCACCATAAGATTAAAAAAATCTATCAGCATTTGAGTCTTAAAGTCCACTGTCAGCAGTTTGATAAAAACAGGCTCTGATCCACATCTGCATGAGAAAGTTATAATTAGTTTTCTGTTCAAACCAAGCTGTCAGAAGACTAGCTGTATTTCTTTTGTTTACTATTAATTAAGAAAAGCTTCAATGTGTTTGATTAAGAACAGCTGAACATTTAAGAGCAGAAGAGGGTTGGAACCCGTATTTAAACTGCGCGGCTGTCTAACCTCACTGTGAGCGGAGTGTGTGGTGGTGCTCGGCCACTGCAGCYTCTTTTAGTTTTACCCACTTTTACTAACAGAGTCCTTCTTTCAGGCCACTCACAGAAACAGCCTCCACCCTGTTAACACTACATCCCTGTCCAACTCAAGTTTGTTCTTTTACACAGAGGGGATCGCTTTGCACTTTTTTTTTTGGCTTATTCTTATTTTGAGGTTTGAGGTATTGAGGTTTGATCAATAAATTTGTTTTTGCACATAAAGTTAAAGGTGGAGGAAACTATCATACATCCTGTGTATCGTGTGATCTGTACTTTCTGTACTTCTCTGTATTATTGACACCCTTTTTTCTTGTTTTTTTAAGCACAGTAAACAGATTACTCATCTGTTATTTAAACGTTCTGTGCTATGACTTCTCTCCTCCCCTGCTGCTTCACTATCTTTTGTTGTAATGTTATTACCCCTTTTAGATGTCTCGAATAATCCAAGTTTATGATGAGGAGAAAGAGATTAATACGCAGGTAAGCTGTTCCAAACGGAGCACGGGATACCCTGTCCCCTCCCACTGAGGCTCCAAGAAATGTTTTACTTGCCAAACCGCTTTATTTATAAAGCACCTAAAAACAGCAACAAGACCAACCAAAGTCCTGCACGATAAAACAAACAAGCAGAGGACACTGAATATTATATTTAAATCAACAGAGGTGAAAAAAAATTTGTACTAACTTAAAAAAACACCATAAGGTTAAAACCAACTCTCACAGGGTTGAAGGTCAGGGAATATAAATGTTTTCCTTTCGCTTGTGTATTTTTAATTATTAAATTTTTTTCCCCTCAGTTTCATGTTTTAGTTTTCTGTTTGGTAATTGAATATGATGAAGAATATGAGACTAAGTGGTTGAATCACTTTATGCTGTTTCACAGCAGAGTGGTGAAAGCCTCTTATCACCAAGAGGAGTTAAAGTTCTGTTCAAACAAGTGAAATAATTTGAATAAACAAATATTTTAACTGTCACTTTAAAACACACTCAATCCTTTTACAGTTAGTAATAATTGTGTGCAGCGTGAGAAATACCAGCTAGAAGTTCTGGTTTAGGTTTTTAGATTTAAAAACTCGACACTTAGTTTATAAATCTAACACAAAAGGAGTCGACTGAGCCTCACTTTAGAGGGTTTTTCAGGCGTATCCCATCGGGAAGAGACCCCAAGGCAGACTTAACTCGCTGGAGGGATTATATCTTCTCTGGCCTGGGAGCTGGAGAGGGGGCGGGGTTTCTCTCCTGAGCTYGTTGCTGCTGCGATCTGATTAGGAATAAGCATTAGATTGGATTAATTGATACAAATCCCATCATAAAAAGTTGGATATTTTAATAAACACGTGAAATGAAAAATAAATGGAGTTCTGTCTCAGAATGAACTTGATACATAAATTATTTTATTATAAGTATTTTATCAAAAATGTCAATTTTACAGAAGTAATGCAAATCAAAGATTAATTGTAAAGCTGAAAAATGCTAAAACATGTATGTTACCCATCACATCAAACTGAGGATTAAGTCAAATTTGGCCTGAGCACATTTTCAGATTTCTGCTTTTTAAGCTACATTTAATAACCTGGATCCTGATTTGAGCGGTTCCAGAGAYGTGGCTCGGTTTGTCTTCCTATTCAGGATAACTCCTTGATATTTGGTCTGAATCCTATTTTTACACAATATTTGGATATTAAGATTTACCATATTCAAACAATAGTAATTTACAAAAATTTGAAACTAAACAAAAAAACATCAAATCCTTTTCGAACAATAATTCGTATTGACCAGTGGTGCCAATGTGGGGCTTGCGGGCCAAAAGTGGCCCGCCAAGCCATTTGATTTGGCCCACCAGCAGTTGCAATGGTTACTAGGTTGTAATCCGTTGTCCTATGTGGAAACACAGTATTTCCACCAAAAGCCATCTATAGTGCAGTTAGTCAAAAACATGGGCGATCGCACTATCTTAGCTAGCCTAATCATCAAAAATAATACTTAAGAAGTAGCTATTTGTAGTTCATGTATTATATTATTGCAGTTGGCCCACAGCCCTCAGATAGGTTTTCATTTTGGCCCTCTTGGGGGAAAAAGTTTGGGCACTCCTGGTATAGATACACTATTTCATCTCAACGACACATATACAATATATATTTATATAACTATTTTATTCAATAGCTGCCTCTTCTCCACATGCATACCACTTTGGGACTTAATCCTCGGTTCAATGTGATGCATTCAGTTTTCAGAGCTGAAGSTTTGTTGTTTCAAACGTAACTTTAACAGGAGTCAGTCACAGTGTGGCCATTTTTATTTTTTATTTTCCTTGAGAGGTTTGGTAGTTTTTAATTTCACTGTCAACAGGCAGAAACACTGTTTGTCGCATATGTTCAGAACTTCTCTTGGTTTCATAAAGATTTTTTTTTTTTTCAGCAAGGTTAAAAAGTCCACCGGTGTATTTCAGTTCTAATTCTGGATGTCAGTGGCTGAATTTGGAGGGAATATTTGAAGGTCTTTATGTGACCCGTAGCTGATTGGTGGAAATGTTTCATGGAGCCACAGTGGGACAGGAAGGCGGGATATTCCTGCTCTGCACAACACGGTTGAGCTGGGACCGCTCTGCCGTCAAGTTTTAACCAAATCTAATTTTTCTCCTCCTCTTCTTCCTCCTTCCTGCCTCGACCCATTCATACCCCCCACCCCCCACCTCCACACACAATCTTTGTATTCTTGCTTTTTTCCTCTCATTTTTATACCACTCCTCACGCGCTTCTTCTTCGACCTCTTCCTCCTCTCCCTCCTCCAACAGGTGGGGTCGGAGATGGCCATATCGGGCAACGCTGTGAGCCTGTACTTCGAGGAGAAACTGGAGGAGATTTTCCCCGGGCAAAGCTTCCCCGAAACCCCAGAACCCGAATCCCCAGACGAAAAGGAGAAAGAGGAGGAAGACACAGACGACTCTGAGGAGGACTTCATACAGCCCAGACGCAAACGGTTGAAAGTGGATGAGGAACCACTCCACATCAAGTAAAAACCAACACTAGAAGCAAAAAAAAAAAAAATTAATAAAAGTGGAAAAACTGTCTTCCTCTTAAGTCACTTATTTCTTTAGATTTTTTTTTTTATTTTATTCTGATTTTTGAAAGGGACAAACGAGAACGAGGTTTTCTAACTGGATCATCTCATCGTTTCCTTTGAAAGAATAATTTTCTGCTATGTTGAATTTTTTTTGAAGCCTTCATGGTGGAAGGAGGGAGGAGCTTCATTCCTTCTGTACTTCGTGGACACGGACTTGTACAGGTTTTGAAGTAGAACCTGTTTTGTTGTAGTTAGCAACTGGATATTTGTTTTCTATCATTTGCATTTGTAGATTTGTTGTGACATCAGCTTTATAAAATCCTTCAAATCTCCTGTTGTGTTTGATGTATGAAATCTATAACATGGAGATTACCAAGTGTTTGTACGACTGTGGAAATGTTCTGTAAATAAGAGCGTTTAACCCTCTGAAAGTATTGCTGCCGTATAGATGTTCCGGTGCGTCCTCAATAAAACACGTTGAAATACACCAGAGGAAACGTTTGTGGAGTGATATGACATCGACTAAAAACGAAATGTGTCTGATGGTATTTAGCTGTGTGGACAGTATTGGATTATCTACTTCTCAGTAATTATTTAACTGATGGACGTGGTACATGACGTCTTGCCATGACTACTTTGTAAACTATAAAACAAACATAAAACTGGACATTGAGGACTCATGATTTGGACAGACTGAGTGTTGTACTTCTATTCCTTCATAATTTAGATTTCAAATAAACATTTCTCAGTAACTTCTTTGCATATAGGTTTGAGTATTTGTACTAGGAACTAGGAATAAATCACACTTACCTGAAAGAACAAAAAATACAGCTGTTGATTTTGCAAAACGGTGCTTCAGTGTCAGAACCGTATTTTATAAATGAATATTTATGCTTTATAAGTTGTTTTTAAAGCCTTTAGAGAAGAGGAGTCCTTAGGAAATGATAACCTGAAGTACACCCCTGATCAAAATCTTAAGACCAGTCAAAAAAGTGCAAGAATTTGCATTTTGCACTATTGGATCTTAAGAAGGTTCTAAGTAGAGCTTCACAATGTTAAAAGAAGAAATCAGTGCAAGAGACAAGAACTTTTGAGCAGGGAATTTTCTGAAAACTGCATTTACACTCAAACATGATTTTTTTCAGCTGATCWAAAGTTTAAGACCATAGCACAAAAAAACCCGAAAATCCCCCAAAACAGAAATCAAAGTGTCAAAAAAAGGACTCAGTAATGAGGAGCTCCACCATTCTTGTTGATGACTTCAAACAATGGTTTAGGCATGCTTGATGCCAGTGTTTCCAGGAGGCTAGTGGGAACGTTGCTCCAAGTGTTGAAGATGGCTTCACGAAGGGCATCCACTGTCTGGAACTGATGTCCATTGTTGTAAACTTCCCTTGCCATCCATCCCCAAATGTTCTCAGTTGGGTTTAGATCCAGGCAACATGCAGGATGGTCCAACAGAGTGATGTTATTCTCTTGGAAGAACTCCTTTGTCAGGCGGGCATTGTGAACTGCAGCATTGTCCTGTTGAAAAACCCAATCATTACCACACAGACGAGGGCCCTCAGTCATGAGGGATGCCCGCTGCAACATCTCCACATAGCCAGCTGCTGTTTGACGCCCCTGCACAACCTGAAGCTCCATTGTTCCATTGAAGGAAAASGCACCCCAAATCATGATGGCGCCCCCACCACTGTGCCGTGTAGAAAACATCTCAGGTGGGATCTCCTTKTCATGCCAGTAAYGTTGGAAGCCATCAGGACCATCAAGGTTAAATTTTTTCTCATCAGAGAAGACCTTCCACCTTTCAGTGTCCCATGTTTGGTGCACCCTTGCAAAGTCCAAACGGGCAATTTTGTGGCGTTGAAGAAGACGTGGCCTCTGAAGACGTTTTTTGTTTCTGAAGCCCTTCTCTCACAGATGCCGTCTGATGGTTATTGGGCTGCAGTCAGCACCAGTAATGGCCTTAATTAGGGTAGAGGATCGTCCCGTGTCTTGACGGACAGCCAATCGGATCCTGCGGCTCAGAGCTGGTGAATTTTTTTTTGAGTCTACCACTTGACTTTTTTGTTCCATAACCCTCAGGATCATTTAAAAAATGCAAAATGACTGTCTTACTGCGTCCAACTTCAGCAGCGATGGCACGTTGTGAGAGGCCTTGCTTATGCAGCTCAACAACCCTACCACGTTCAAAGTCAGTGAGCTTTTTTACTTTTGCCATCAGGAGGTCTTGACAGAAAATGACATGGAATCCAGATTTTTTGCACAGCTCTTGGCTTTTAAAAACTATGGTCTTAAACTTTTGATCAGCTGAAAAAAATCATGTTTGAGTGTAAATGCAGTTTTCAGAAAATTCCCTGCTCAAAAGTTCTTGTCTCTTGCACTGATTTCTTCTTCTAACATTGTGAAGCTCTACTTAGAACCTTCTTAAGATCCAATAATGTAAAATGCAAATTCTTGCACTTTTTTGACTGGTCTTAAGATTTTGATCAGGAGTGTATTTGTTGCATCTGTGTCTAAATCAGCTGAAACGGGGGGTTTCTGACAGCATCGTTTACATCTGGAGTTTTCTTACATGTAAATAAAGTAATTTTGCTGCTATAGATCACTGACTGCACAATGAGCCCTAATAAAACAATTCTGCAAACCTAATTTACCTGCATTCTGAATAAATCCCACATTTTAGGTATAAATCTGTAAAAACAAGGAGGAACACTTGGGGGTTTTCTCTTCTCAGTGCCACATTTCAGCCCAGATGAATAACGTTTAAATGTTGAAATAYACAGGAGTTCATCGGAGTCAGCAGTTGTTTTGCAGCTCAGGTCGGAACATGTCTGGAAAAGCACGTGACTTTACAGGAAAATAAAAGCTCAGACTGCGTTCAAAAGCTTCGGGTCCTCTGCTGAGTCGTCAGATTGATCCTGTCAGCTGACGAGACTCAGCTGGACGACCGGTTTTCTCCTCTGACATCAGATTCAAGCTTCTGAACAGGTAAATTGTCTCTTTTCTACAAAGTTGTGAGTCAAATTCTAAGTCTGGCATTTAAAAAAATGTTTATACAATTTTCATTACAATTTTTAGACGACTTTTAGAGTTAAACGAGTTTATAAATAAGTTGGGGTTTTTTTCTATACTGAATATTCGCACATTTCTCATAATATTCTCTTTTCAGCAAATAAAATGTAATTACATTTGTGAAACAAATCTTTAAAGGTTTGTTTCACAAATCAGCTGAAGCGAACATCAGCAAACTTTTATTTTTTTTACTGTGTATTCAGACGAACTAAAGATCTACATGTGACCGAAAATTAAATTAAATTAATAATGGTTCATTCATTCGTTGTTTTTTTATATTCTTATTTTTTATTTTTAATAAAAGGCACTGCATATAGAATACAGTAACCTTAACATAAATGGATAACACAATAAAGCTTATTTCCATTGTGGTCCAATGTGATGAAAATGTACGCTCAGTGTGTACGACCTAGTTTAATTTATATTTTATTTTGAAAAACCGGAAGCGCACAAGACGAGGCCGGGCGCCGCCATTAGCGCTTCTGCGCAGTAGAGATGTGAGTCAGTACTAGTCCCGCCTACTCACCCTTTCTAACAGGCTGTCAGCGCTGTCAATCACTATCACGTGACACCATCATCGAAGTAAGCTGAAATTAACGAAGTACAGTTAAATGCACGCACAGCAGCAAGGTGAAAACTACGCGAGACATTACAAAAAAATACTGGTCTTTCTTTTTTTTTTAATTTTTAGTCACAAAAATGCACAATGCATTTACATAGTGGGGTGGGACTTAAAAATTGTGTTCGTCTTGGCGGCGCTCTTCTGTGTTTTTTAACTTCCTGTTGTGTGTCTGCTGTGATGTATCCTGATCTGTTTATCGTCTGTTTCTTGTTGTGCCTCCAGGCTTTGAGTTGTAGCTGACTTTGGGAAGGAAGGACTCCGTCATGTCAGCCACTCAGGCAAGAAAAGACACGATTCTTTATTCATTTTCATCGTGATTACACTGAAAACGTTAAGTAATAAGTCATTAGCAGTGAGCAGCTAACAGCTGGTTGGTGTGTTTTTTTTTCTGCCTTTGATGTTTTTTTTTTTTTTTACATTTTCATTGTGTACAGCTTCAGCTTTTCCTGTCGTTTCAATGTGACTTTGCTTACCCACTGTTCCAGCCATTGTTTTGATAATTAGCCTCTGTCTGTAGAGCTAGCTTTTGTTTCACATGTGATAAAGATCCTGATGTTTGTGTTATGCTGATTGTGAGAGAGTTCACTATATAAACTGCTTATCTGAACCAAATAGTTGAGTCAAATTGTTTACATTATTTCTCATATAATTTTATTATAATTTTCAATTGGAAAACCTAACAACCTTGAGAGTGTGTGTTTACAGAAGTCTTTCTCCACCTGCAGAACATGCGTGTGGATGGAGTCCTCACACAGAACAACCTTGGATGGCGCAGCTCAGAAAACTTCACCTCCTTGTGTCCCAACGGGTCCAAATGGGTCTGGGAAGGGCTCGGGGAGTGTGCCCAGGATGGGAGGGACATGGCCAGCGTCTTTCTCGGCCTCCTGTCCATCGTTTGTTTCTTGGTGTCTTCTCTTCCGTAAGTGTTTATAGCACTTTTTTTAAATGTTATTTTGTACATCTGAGATATTTGACAGGCATGTATTATCCCTCTGGTTGCAGACAGTACTACAGCTCGTGGAAGAAAGGGAATATGGACAGCGCCCTGTCCATCTGGTTTCTACTGCTGTGGTTGGGAGGGGATTCCTGTAACCTGGTGGGCTCCTATTTGGCTGACCAGCTTCCTATTCAGGTGACTCTTACAAACACACTGTTTACAATCAACAATATTTAAAATATTTTCTTTACCTCTATTTTTAAATCCACTTTTCTAGCCATTACATTCATTTTGTTGTGTACTTGGGGTCTAAAAGAAAGATTTAAAAGCATATGTCCTCTTTAAGAAGATGTTAAAAACCAAACTTTGTATAAGTTATATTTTGTGTGTGTTTCCCTAGACGACTTAAATAATTCTGACTTCTGTTCAATGTAAACTTCATGATTATAATGTGAAGAAATTAGTTTCCACAGATCACTGACCTGAGTGTGTTTTCTCCCCGTCATCTAGAAATACACAGCAATTTATTACGTCTGTGCCGACCTGGTGATGCTGGGCATGTACACCTACTACAAGATCCGACACAGAACCACTCAAAGTCAGTACCTTTTTGTTTATTTATTTTTAATAAAACTCTTCAAACTCCTTATTCTGCTTATTTGAAAACCTTACTAGGAATGGGTTGATATGAGATTCTGTTGATAACTGGAAACACCACAGTTCAGTTAGAACAGATCAGCTCAAGCTTCTCGACAATAATCAGACCCTTGCTTGTGTTTTTGTTTTTTTACCAGGGGAAACGATGTTACACGCARTCAGTGTGTTTTGCATTCTGGGCCTGACTTCAAGCCTCGCTTCTCTWCAGTTACCAGGGTCAGAACCTGAAAGGACCTCCGGGTTCAGAAGTCGCTCTTTACTCTCAGCCTCTGATGATGGCTCCTTCCAGGTGAGGCCTCCTCATTTCATATGTTTTTGATTTAAAAGAAGTAAACATAGCGGAACGACGGCTCAGTGGTTAGCACTGATGCCTCACAGCAAGAAGGTCCTGGGTTCGGATCTGGGGTCTTTATGTGTGGAGTTTGCATGTTCTCCTCGTGCTTGTGTGGGTTTTTTTCCAGGTACTCCGGTTTCCCCCACMGCACATAAACATGTACAATGTACCTTGAAAAAGAGATCTGCGATCTCAATGGGATTTGCCTGGTTAATTAATGGTTAATAATGTGATTGTTTTGGGTTTTTCTAAAGTTACATCCTCACCTTTTGTCACTTCAGCCTTTCACGAAGAATGAAATTATTGGTTTTGCCATTGGGTCGTTGTCGTCAGTCCTCTACCTCTGCTCCAGACTCCCACAGATGTACACCAACGTAAGTTAAACCGTTAAAGTCACATTTTCAACGTCTTGTGCGTGCTGTTATCTGCGATGGAGTATTAGGTCCACACAGCAACATTTTTTAAAAATTATTATTACGAGAATAAAGTCGTGATATTACGAGATTAAAGTCATAATATTATGAGAATAAAGTCGTAATATTATAAGAATAAAGTCATCATATTACAAGAATAAAGTCGTAATTTTACGAGGTTAAAGTCGTAATTTTACAAGAAAAAAGTCATAATCTTACATGACGTGTCCATTTTCCGTTCCTCATTTCCTCCTTATTTTCCCCACACCTTCTGTGTGCAGCCATGTGTCTGTGTTTATAAAGTAGTCTGCAATGACTTGGGTCTGTTAGATTTAATATGCTTTTATCAAAATTAGCTACGTGACGACTAAATCTGTCAGTGTATCCATTAATTACAATACGGCTTCAGTTTATCATATAGTCATTTGCACAATTTCCAAGTCCTGCTACTGATAATTTGATGCTAATGTGCTAAAAGATTAACTATTTTTTTTAAGCAATATTAAAGAACARCTTGACAAGTTGCTCACAATTTCTCATTTTAATGCAGTGGTAACTGCATGCTTTTTCATGTAACGGGTATAATATTACGACTTTAATTTTAGAATGTTATGACTTTAATCTTGTAATGTTACTTTATTCTCATAATTTTATGACTTTATTTTCATGCGACTTTAATCTCGTAATATTATGACTTCATTCTCATAATTAAAAAAAAATATATATATATTGTTGTGTGGCCCTAATACTCGGTCGTAGTAATCAGTCCAAGAGCTCGTAAAATATCCTTATTTCACTTAATTAAACATGTATCGTGTGTATTGTGAAAATAGAGAAAACAAGTAGGCTGTAATGAGCACCCCCCACCCCACCCAAACAAGTCCAGTCAAGCTTGAGCAGCTTCAAAACACCGACCCGGTTCACTGCTGCTACTGTGATAAAATGGCCACCTGCTATAATCACTCTAACTAAGCTGTAAATTGCTGCATTTAAGCACTTTTCAGATCTACTCAGTCTAAGCGGAGTTCTGCAACAAGTGCAGCAATTATGGAGTTTCAGTCCTTTGAGGTCTGACTCTCACAGGAACCAGAACCAAACCCCGTCACAGTCTGAAGTTTTACTTTTAGTTTGATCCAACTCATTTATTTATATTACTGCTCTTCGAGCTTCCTGGATCCTGGGAAGAATTACAAATACTTATCCAGACAAAGATGGACTGGTGCGTGCCGTGCAGTTGAGGACAAAGACGGGCCAGCTGGAAAGGCCCATATCCAAAATCTTCCTCCTTCTAGAAGCCCTGAGAAGCAGGGGAAGGAAATAAGAAGATGCTTGGGACTATAAATTTTTGTGGCTCCTTTTTTGGTGTTTGTTGAATTGTGCTGTATACACARTTGGGGCYGGTGTATAGGAGCCATTTGTAGTTCTGGGTGTTCTTCTTATTTTGTTTTTATAGTTCAGTTTGGTTTGGTGGCAGTGTTTGTTTATTTCGATTGACCCTTTGACCTTTATTTTTGCTCCACCACTGGTGGCGGTGTGGAGGGGAAATCGGTGGCAAGGTGAGAARGAAAGGTGAGGGTGTAGGGAGGTCACACGGTTTTTACCACTCTCTGTTAAAATGCTGATTAACCTCTCTCATATTCACATTTTACCATAGTTTCCATCCATTTTGCAAGCTGCCATAGACCGCCACTCTGGACTCTAACATTTAATAATCAAAATAATATAGTAAATGGGAGTATCCCCTAACATATCTCCCAGTCTGGACATTATATTGACTGGAGCGCGTCAAAGGCCTGGATTCCCCCGCACCCAGAAGCTACATGTATAATTAATTACATTGTCTCTGTGCTACGAGGCGACAGCTGCCATAAAACAATGTTAATACCACATTTTTTGAAGTTCAGGTTCGTATAATTGTATCAAATATTAGCCAGACTGGCCTTGCAATGCTGGCAGTAATTAAGGAAGCATGTAACACCTGCTAAGATGTCAACATGAGCTCTCGCCTTGTTAGCATAGACTGCTCTGTGGCTGGCCGTTCTGTTTCAGTGAAATGTCAGAATTTGTTATGAAACCTTTCTAGTTAAAAATGTACGTTTGCAGAAAATAAAAAGGGGAAAATAAATAAATGAACCTAAAACTGAGCGAGCAAAAGTGAAAAAAAGATTTGCTTTTCTTTGTTTTGTCTGAACACATCGTTGGTCAAAATAAAAAAATTCTTTTCCATTTCCTCTAAAATGACTCGCCTTGTCCACTTCCTCTTCGGCCGCTCTGCTCGTCCCCACAGTTCAAGAGGAAGTCGACAGAGGGGGTGTCGTACTTCTTGTTTGCACTCGTCATCTTGGGGAACACTACGTACGGTCTGAGTGTCCTGCTGAAGAACCCTGACCTGGGAAACAGTGAGAGCAGCTACCTGGTTCACCACCTGCCCTGGCTCGTCGGCAGTCTCGGCACCCTCTCCTTGGACCTCATTGTATCCTTTTTTTCAAAGAGTCAAACATGGCAGCTCAAGGCTGTCAGTGACACCAGGCACATGTGACGTGTCAAGTTTCAGTCCAAACCAACCTGGTGTTGATTTTATCACGACTGTGTGTGCCTAAACAGAGTTAAGTTTCAACACCCAAACACAGGCAGGAGAACTGGTTTTGGGGACACAAAAGACAAGTTTAGAGATGTTACCTTAGTGTCCCCTGGAGGCGGCTTCGCTTCTCTGCACTCAGGATCGTCCACACACAAGTTTCACCTAGTTTTTTATTTATTTATTTATTTTTTGTGTGTGTGAAATAAAGAGAAGAGAAACGTTCCACCACACAACCACTCGTGCAACTAAAATATGTTGCATTTGAACATTGATGTGTTTGAATTGCCCACTTCAGGAAATCTTTGTGTAGTGCTGAAGTTCCTCCTTTTTAAATATAGGCCTGAAATTCCTGATGACATCACTCCAGACCAATAAAATCTGGCCTCTGTTATGGCAGGTTCACACACGACACTAGGGTTGGGCAATATTGGCAAAAAATGTCCTGATGCATCTCAGTAATCCAGGTAAAAAATCAAAAGGAAAAAAAATTGTATAGGTCCTCTGGACGGGTTCTTCTTTAATGAAACGTTTCGTCTCTCTTCCAAGAGAGAGGAGTAAAAGAAGCCATTTTTGTAAAGAAAGACCATCCATCATTAAACAGAGGTGGGGGCCTCCGTTTTCAGC